GATTTTGGATGATTTACAACAAAAGATACCAAAAGTTTTACTATCCTAAATTTCACTGGTGCTGCTCCATCCCCTTGAAAAGTACTTCTCACTACACATATAATGCTATCCAAATGTGTGAAATGATCTCCAACAGCCTATAAGTTTTACATTATCATCCTTCCACCAGTCATCAACATTTTAACCACATCACCTTCTTATCATTTGTCATAGTAATACAAATACAGAAAAAACATATACTGTTGCCTTCCATTACATTACATAAAAAAAATTCCAAGCATTTTCTTTATGTTTATTCTCTTTTTTCCTTTTTTTCTCTCTCTTTTTCTCTAAGTAAAAACCTTGTGTTACTTTATTCCACTTCTTAACTTCAGTCAGTACCTTAATGTCAGGTGTATATATAATGAATTTCTTGCACTATAAGAGCACATTTACATGATTTTGCTTAAATGCCACAGAGTATATTTACTTTTACCTCAACATATTCCAAACAAACATCTAAGCTAAAATCAAATGCTTGTGAGATCGTCGTCACTATAAACCTGGACTACCAACTTTCCCTGCTTTTCTAGCGTCTTTTCTTTTCTTCGCCCAAACAGCGGAAGTTCCACCTGTGTTACATTAGGGTTGATGGGAGCCATAACTTCCGCTCGGCCAATAAATCCATCCATTAGTAGATTACTGTTCCACACCTGTGTTCAAAATGTTCAAATATTATAATCATAAAAATTCTTATATTAATATTCTACAATGAAGCCAAGTTTGAAAGTTTAATATTCAGAAATCTCTGTAAATAAGTTTCACTTCCTCACTGATGAAATATATCCACATTCAATATAAATTTAAAACACAAAAGCTTTGACTTCAGAATTCTGGAGATATTTGCCAAAAAAAAATATATATCTTTATCATTGATGGATTTATTCTGATTATTCAAATAATAATCTCTGATCAATCTTTAATAATTATTGGTAATATCAACTGTCTTCATATCAAAAAGTGGAAAGTCAGAAGTGAATACTAGCTCAATAATTGACTACTTAAATCAATTAAACAATGACAGAGTACATTTCTATCAAAGTCTATGTAGAACTACTAAATAACAAAGCAACTGAATACTATTTAACACTGGAGACACATACCTCGAGCACGATTGGCTGGCCAGGTTTAGTTCGGTAAAAGATGGCAGTTGTGTCCCACTTGGGGTCGGATGTTCCCTTCTCTATCGGCGTCCTCACCACTTCACTCTCACATTTTATTAAGCAATATGCATCAGCCTCTCCTAAATTACATCAAAAAGGTTTATGGTAAATAAGACTTCATTAATGTATATATCATTTTATAAAACAAACTCTTTAATATACCTTGAGTTTTTGCCTTGATGCCTTTAAATATATTACAGGTAAGTTTTCAAAATCAATCATCTCTATAAACTTGGTAAACTAAATTCTAAATTATATAAACACTAAAATCTTCATAAAATGTTTAGAAAAATCACTCACTGTAATATCAAAGTATAGTGACACTTCTGCATTTACTGTTTACTTATTGGTTCATATGAAGGTATGTTAATATATCATTCTTATCATATCACACAATTACAAAAAATCTTGACATCAATTTATTATATCTTATTATTTTGCTAACAACATATGAAAATAAATATTTTTATAATCTTACAACTTTATAATCTACATCACGGTTAAAAAAGAATAATAAATCTAAAAAATATATAGACAATTAAAAAAGAAATGATATATTAAAGAAAATAATTATTACCTAAAACAGTAAAATTATATTATATCATTCCTAAAATTCTTACATGCATTTACTACAAAAAGTAAACACTGGAAACTTACTTACGCGATTGACTCCTTAACCAAAGATGAAAGCATGCATTAGTGTTGCATTTTAAAAAGAAACATTTCATATTTTGGAAGAATATTTCACTTAAAAAAAAAAAAAAAAAAAAAAAAGGGTGGATCAAGACATAAAGTGTCAAAGTCATGCAAATCAACTGATGATTCTAGCTTATATTATTGGTATACATTATGGTTTGAAAATACTATACATCAATACTTATATTCGAGATTTAGAACATGATGATTTCTACATACAGTAATGAATGACAATGACTACCCTCTATAGTTTTTACTTCAACCAATAGATTATATGCAGAGTAGATGCAATAGTCGGAAAATCGTAGTAAACATGTAATTTATTCAGTGCTCTGTTGAACATTTGGATCATTCCAGTTTAGACATTATGTTTGCTTGCCCAGGAGGTGTTCATACAGTCAGTCAATACATCTTATAAAGCCTTCTCTTAATATGCGAAAAATGGAACAGAAAAGTCACACAAGAAATAAAGAATCCATGTTGTTTCAAGTCTAACCAGACTATTCCACAAATGATTTATCAAAGAAAATTCTTGAAAATTTGCAGATTTATTCCTTAATGCAGATGTATTACATTACATATAGGACAAATTGATCCCACTACATAAAAAATGGCGATATATTAACCATCATCTGAGTCTATGAACACCAGGGTGAACCTCTCTACTCGTGTTTGGTGCGTCAAACCTTTTTCCCCGTCATCATAAATTATGCGTTTGAGCCGTTTCATTCGCCTCTTGGGCGCTTGGCTCTTATATATCATTTCTGTCTGATTTGCCAATTCTTGAAGGCATGCAAAAAAATACATCATTTAAGAAAAAAAAGGAAAAAGAAAAGCATCTACATATCTTCCAGCAATAGCATAACAAATAGAACAAGAATATCTCATTATATGTTCTTTAAATACATATCTCTCTCTCTCTCTCTCTATATATATATATATATATATAGTGAGAGACAGGTATATATACAAAGGTCAAACAAACCCTTTAAATAAATATAAAAAACCAAGAATTTCCAAAGATCTATGGCTATATTTCCTGAATTTCGGAGAAGCATTGATACAGATACTGTAAAACTAAACACTGCACTCCACTGCAAGTCGGCCCTAAACCAGTAAACAAGATGTCAGACCTAACCTATGAAAAAAAACATCATCAACCTCCATTCAATCTCATTAAAAGGAAGAAAAGTATGTGGGGGGGGGGGGGGAATCCAAAATACACGCACTCACTCTAGACAAACCCTAAATAAATTTTTCTATATCTTACCTCCAAACGCCGACTGTTTCTCCAGGTTGAAAGCACCTTTAACGGTGATGGTGGTCACAAGGACTGGCTTTTTGACACAAGAGTACCAGCGGATTCGAGGCTGATCCAGAGTGAGCTCTCTGGAAATGTAAGGAATATGTGCGTAAAACTGAAAAATGACATACAGGTTAGCCACAGCACCATATAATAACACAATCCAAGGAAAGAAAGAAAAGAAGAAAGAAGAAGAAGAAAAAAAAAAAAAAATCAACAGCATACCTTGCATTGGCATCTTTTGATGTGAACATTCTCATGATATATTCTCCAGTTTCGTCAGGCTTAAAAGTAGTAGGCATAATGACATAACGTCCCTGTTTCAACTGTTCTCGCAGAAATATTGCACGTGTGCGAATGTAGTCTGATGTGGCTATGCTCTCATGTATCCTGTGAACACGGTATTTCCTGTTTTCCTCAACCTGAAATTATCAAAATTTCCATTAACACTGAAATAAAAATACTTTGAAGAAAACACCAGTTATAAAATTTGCTATCTTTTATCTATCACATCTGTTAGTCTTTAAAATCAAGTTTTTTTTTATTTCATAATCATATGTTCTGAGCAACTGTCACACCCAACTATCAAAGCTTTAGTTATTTTAATATGAGTACATATAATTCGATCTAAACTTTTTCATGACCTATCATATCCAGTGTCTACATATCACTGAGAATAACAACTGCATTTTATCCATTAAGGACTAAAATCCATTATCCCACAACTGAGATCTGGTACAGGGTAACTATCACACCTTCATTATGTGGAATCCAATTACAAGGTTTTGGAGTCCTTCCTGTTTCCTATCACGTGTGTCCTTTTGCATCAGCTGGAATATAACATCATCACTCTCCTCCTTGATATCAAAACTGCAATGTTAAAAAGTAAAAAGAAATGTAAAAAGTAACATAAGTTCTAGTCGTTGTAATGCCAAGGAAATCTCTATCTAATATGGCCATGAAGTAAAAATCATTTCAAGTTCCCTAATGACTTCAAACAGGAAGCACAATACAGACAACACTAAGATTACCTCATGTCAAGTTGCATGTATATATAGTACTTAGAACAATTAAGATGTATACCATGCCATCCAGGCTAGAAAAGCTACTTACCGATATTGTGGATTACGCAAAAAGGAATCCTTGTGGTTTGGACACCCTCCTGCCCGGTCCGAGTTGTGGCCTCGGATGCCGATGGTCCATGCATCCACAAAGACAGTCTCATGCCAAGTTTTACTAAGACTGAAGACTTTGGTGTTGATAAGGAAACAGATGGAGAGGTCAGTGAAGTGCTCCACGAAGTCATCAAACGTCATCCTAAAAATGCAAGGAAGAATTACAGTAATGAATAAATGATTCAGGTACATAAAGGAACATGGGAAAAATGTACCTTTATACACATAACTACACTATCAAAATGTGTCAACTTTACATACATATATAAAATCAATATTCTATAAAAATGTATTTTACTTCTTGCTCAAAAAATCTTGTACAGGATACAATAATCTCTTCAAAAATCAGTAGCCAAATTTCACTTACCAAAACTCTCCATCATCTTCAAAAGTTAGTCCTAACTTCTCCCTCTCTGATGCCGAGACTTTTGACCATTCTGGCGATCTGTTGGGTATTCATCATGCTTTAAAAAATGTCAAGTTTCCCTAGTATGAATCAATCAATATCAGTGTCACTCTAAATCCTGTCAATTATTCAATTTGCTTTTGTTTTAAAGTATCTTTATTGAGAAATATACAACATTTATATAGGATGTATACCAAAGATTAACATGCAATCTCATCAACTTAAAAAAAGAAAAGAAAATAAAAATGTCAAAAGATACAAGACCTGCTGAAAAATCACTTAGAATCCTAAATGACATCAAGAAAAGTTCTAGTGTTAAAAGAAACACGCTTCATTAGTTAGCAAGCTGATATAAACACATGAAGGAGGGAAATCAAAAGGAGAATAAAATAATAAATAAATAAATTAAAATATAACAACTGAGTAGCAGATTAGGGTCCAGAGATTAACTTCTGTTTTTACAAAGGGAATTATCCTCCTTCGCACATAGGGAAAATAACAAAGATCTATACAGCCATACTTAATCTAATCAAAACAACAATTCTCAGTTTTGTTCTTCATAAAATTTGGATCAAATGTTAATATTCATAATCCTCTCCAACCAAACATTTCATATGAAAGAACTTGAGTGTTATCAAAATGTATCCTAATGATCTGGCTTAATACTGCATTTGCACAATCATAAGAACATATATTTACAAAAAAAAAAAATCTTTATTCATTGGAATACTCAATATCAAGTCTCCATGAAAGTATTTTTCTACTACATTGAAAGCTGAATAAATATCCCCACATCATTATGATTTTCATATAGTATGAATTACAGTCTAATTACAACAAACAAATCCAACTGTCAATGATACAATAAAGAATTTTGAACTTTCATACCATTAAAAAATCATGAATTCCCTTCTAGGTGATAAAAATATAGCAAGGCAACAATTCCTTACATTCAGGTGGCCATAATGATTGTTCCTTCATATCCATGTTTTGAGATGGATAGAAAGAAAATATGTCACTTATTTCTAATTCTGGCATCTCATAAAGGTCCATACTCTACTTTTGCCGTTGAAAATCCACATCTTATTGCTGTGCAACTACAGTAATAATCTCTGTTACTGAGCAAAGTTTACTGAGCAATAAGCAGCAATCTAATCTTCTGCACAATAAATCAAAAGAAAGAAAAAAAAAGTAAAAATGTTACTTAACTTACTGAACTATGTGAGAAGGATAAGCACGGTAAAAGGGGATTTGTGTATCACATTAACACTAAACAAACGCTGATGGCAGTATTTCTTTCTCATTTTATGAATGCGGTATACAAATAAAAAGTAAATGAAACTTAAATTCTGTGAAGACAAGACACTCATAATAGTAAATAAATTTGTTTACCCAATAATAGACTCTCTACAAAAATACCATCAACTAAAGGCGAGAGATTTTGCATTCGTACACAAAGTGTCAAAAAGAAATACAAGATATAGCAGAACTAATAAGAGATATGACATGCTTCAAATCAACAACAACAACAAAAATTAAGTGAAAACAACTCTCAAATGCAAAGCTGAATTCCTGCATCAGCAAAACAAAAGGAAAAGAAAATGTAATTTATCTAATAAATGTCACAAAACTGAAATATCCACACAATGAATTGGAAAACAGACTAGACCAAGGCAACTAAATTGGGGCAGTAATAATGCAAAAAAGCTAAAATAACCACATCAGAGACAATTCAGAAAGCTAAAAAATTACCAGTTCTGAGGCCAATGAAAAAAATTAACCAAAAACAAATCTAAGGCCGACGAAAAAGAAAGTACTAATAATCAAATGATGAAAAAAATGGGACATATCATGTTCTAAATTTGCATTTCAATTCCTTACCAAACCTTCTTGCATTTTACCACCCCAGTCGAACACAGCCCAAATCTAAACCTCTTGCCTACGGTGCACGTGTTTAGTGAATGTGGTACACACATTCCTCACACCTACTGTCAAAGAAATTCATTCTACTTTTTTTTAATGTTCTTTAAAAAAAGAGCAAAAATAATTAAGAATCACCAAGTTACAGCTGTTTCGTTGTGCAAAACTTTGTGAAACACACACTATAGTAAGTATTCACCTGGAGTACATTTTGGTCAGTTCCGAGGTAGTGTACACAAATCCACTCCTTTCTTTACTGTAAAACAATCAATCTTCTTGTGAAAACATGCTCCACTGCTACAAACAGAGCAAGTTTTAAATACGTTAAATACAACAGCTAAGGTGCATGTATAGCTTTAACAAAAGAAAAGCGGTGAAAATTACATTCTGCGTATTTTCAGAAAATAATTTAATTCTTGTTTCAAGAATTAAGCATTCACAGGAAAACTATCCCCTTGTTTCTGGAGTATTCCCATTTCCTTATGAATGAGGAGGTTGTACCAAGTATGAATGGATGTGTTTGAAAGTGGGAATACAGCTAAGTGTGAGGGTGAGAATGAAGACGACGGTGCAGTGAACATGAGAGTGAGTGACAATAACCATAAAGGCGGAAGGTGAAGGTCCTGCTGGTGGGACATGAGAATGAAAGTAAGGGTGAAGATGAATATGAGAGGTGTTTATAAACTTATCCATCAACATAAAAAAAAAGTATGAACGAGAATGAAAATCTTGCACTGTGAAGATATTCATTCGCAGACCTATTTTCTGAACATGAAACATGCTGAATGAGGGAAGAAGAAAAATGAAAGTGAGGATAAGAATAAAAATAGGAATTAGAACAAGTATCAACCCTCCCAGGATGAGATATGACCATCATAATTAGGTATGAACATTAACTAAGGCAAATACAGTAATTTTTTTTTTTTTTTTTCAGATTTCTGAATTGAATTATCCCCCCCCCCCCCATTCCCACCTAAAGAGTACACAATCTACAAGGTATACAGGGCAAAATACCACACAAAATCTGAAAACTGTTCGATTTCTATTACATAGTTCTCAGTCAAGCTCTGAATAATCCTCTATCTTTGGGTTAAACTGAATGAGGTAAATAGATATGATAAGGTGATGGCAAGGCTGAAGATGAAGGTGAACATGAGTGCTTTTACTTTTTCATCTTGCGCTTGTGCAAAGTTGAAGTGGATGGAGCAAAAAGGAAGATCGTGAAGGTGGATTTCAAGTTCAAGAAGAAATTCAGAATGATTCGTTCCGCGCTGAGGCTTTAGTGAGGTTGAAAAAATTACTTGACCCAAGTAATTAATATGACACATTCCTGTATTCAAAAATTCCTAGATTTAAAACTGATAAATTTAATTTCTCAAATGTCTTAGCTTTGTGTTCCATTTCTAATGCTATGGGATAGCTCATCTGCTTCATTGAAATAGTTCTTTTACGCATTTTCATTTTTGTCTTTGAATGCACCGTTCAATTTTAAAACTGGAAAGTTTACCAACATTTGTGACAATTTATATGCAATATATATTTTATTCTGACCTTCAGAATAAAATATACTCTCTGCTCCTCCCTTTCCAATATTCTTTAGTATCTATACATTATCCTCATCATATTTTCATGACTAGCAAACAGACATATTTGCTCTCTTCAGTCACATCTGCTAAATTGAATATACAGCCATCACTTTGGTCTTCAGTTAGCTATTTGTCTCCTGTAACATATGATGTATCTCATTTGGTATACTGTAAAATGGCAATGAACTACACACACACACACACACACACACACACACACACACACACACACACACACACACACACACACACACACACACACAAATTATACTCTGCTCATTATGTCAGATGTCAATCCAAGACTATGACAGAGCTACTGAAGGATTTGGGCTTCAGAGCTGCTAAAACTGACCTCATTAGACATTCTAGCATGAAATTTGTTCCAGACTGGTGATCCATAAACTGGGCCTAGTGAATGCTTCTCCTTCAAAATTTCATGCCAATGGAATCTTAACTTATATATATAAATCATAAAAAGTGATTCAGTGACATATATTTTCATACTAATAAAAAAGACAAGCTGCAAACACATGGTCATCATTCAGCATTTAAAATTCGGTTCAAGTTTCATTTTACATCTCGGAGAATATTCTTTTTACAGTCCAAACTCATAATAAAAGTCTTTTAGAACCAAACTATATTTCTTCAAATGGAATCTATGGGTTAATTCTCAGTCTCTATTTCATCTTCTGTATTCATTTCTCTTCACACCAAGAATATCTGGAGGTAGAAGGTGCCAATCAAAGTGATCCTTTGTAACTTACTTATTATTCCCACCAACTTAATTTAATGAGATTTTTTCAAGTATTCATTTACATTCCACAAGTAAAATCAATGATGAAACAAACTGGATAAGACATAATACAACACTATACCCCTATAACACCCAATGCATCTCAAATATGCAAACAGTTTTACAGTGTAACTTTATGCAAGCATTAGACAGTACAAAGTCTTGCTAAAATACTGGTTATCAAATCAAGCACAGGTGACTTGTGACCAATATACTAATACTGTTTCAAAACAGCATTCTGGAACAAAAATAAAAAAGTTGCCTCAAGAAAAAAATGAATGTGATTTCTGTTATACTTTGCCAAAAGCAGATAATAATGATCTACATTTGTGCTTATTATCTCTTTTCTAAATGGTAACACTTTACCTTTCTGTCCTGAAATAACTGCAGACGAGCATGGAAATAAGACCAGACCAGATACACACATTTTAGGTATAAGGACAAAGAAATAAGATTCACTGATGGACTCAGCCCTGGAAATGAGAAGGGCTTGCATGCATTTTCAAGCCATAAAAGAGACCTCCTCTTAGACACAATCACCACGTAAAAACTCTAGTTTTTAGGTTAAAGTAGCACACAAGATGTCCTTATATGAAAAAGATAAGGAGAATAAATGAAACAAAATAAAAAATAATACAGAACAAATATTACAAATGTATATAGATGAATGTAATTTTGTATGACTGTGAATTCCAATTTTGCATCAGTGTGCTACACCAACTAAAGACAAGATATATATAATTTCACTGAGTCCTCCCACAGAAGATATGAGGATCCAAGAACTATTACATGATGCTCAAGATTTAACAGTTCCCAACCTCTATAGATAAGAGAGTAGTCAATCAACTGCAAAGAAAACATTGCAACATACTCAGCCATCAAGCGACATTCAGTACAATGCTAGCACAAAAAGCAAGTAAATATATATAATGACACAAATGTAATTCAAATATGTAAATGGAAATGTATTTGTGTGTGTATGTACTTGTGCGTGGGTATGTGCTTGTGAAGGTTTGTGTGTTAATGTGAATGCAATTATCTGTGTGTGTGTGTGTGTGTGTGTGTGTGTGTGTGTGTGTGTGTGTGTGTGTGTGTGTGTGTGTGTGTGTGTGTGTGTGTGTGTGTGTGTGTGTGTGTGTGTGTGTGTGTGTGTGTGTTTTCACAATATCTAAAAGGGACAAGATCTATAGCAAAAATTAAAAAATGGCATTACAATAAATGATCTATTTATCATAATACAGACCCAAAAAGGGAATAACATATTAACACTATTTTTCTACTTAATCTAATAAGGAGGAAGATATCCTTTCATTAAATCAACATACCGAATATCATCACTACCATCACTGGTCCCAATAATGAATTAAATATTTAATCTACTATTAATGCTCCCAATAATTAATTAAATCTTTAATCAAACTTTTACAAAACTAAAACTTTTAAGATCTTTACAAAGGTAAAGCTAAAAAAAATATCACCTTAACAACAAAAACAAAAACTCAATCAAAAGATGAAAATGTGTATATGCACCAAAACTATTTCTATATAGATTTAATCCAAAGCCAAAACATAAAATATGAGCAGCGGCTTGCTTCATCACAGTGAGAAAAAAAAAAAAATTAATAGTCTCTCCCATAATTCCAAATGCAATACCTTACTTGCATTCAGTAGTGTAAAACTCTTAAAATGACAACAAAAAACCAGTAACAAAGACTTGTTAAATATCTATGCATGGGAAATAACAGTAAGAGAAACAGAGATCAGGCAGCCTTAACTTACCCATCACTAAATGCTCCGTTCCACTCGCGTTCACCCCACGGGTTTTTGAGGCGGACCATGCGGATCTTCTGCGCTCCCCTGCCATGTGAAAAGGACATTAGTGTGTTGGATAAAGGAGGTTTCAGTTAGGGAGACAATTAGGATAAAGGTACAATCAAATCCATATATGTGATATTTGGAGTCACGGAAATCATATTATCATTCATCAAAACAGTAGAAATTATCTTTCAAGATATAAAACTCATGTGTGCACAAGTATTTTGACACTCATTTCTCTTTTAGGAGTGTGTTTCTTATGCACATAGAAATAGAGCAAATGTTTCAATATTTTCAATGATTTATGTATATCATAAGACATTTCCCATCAAAACCTGTTTAACCACTCTTGAGGTGCAATTAATAGATTTTTATTATTATTTTTTAAAATATATACATTAGTATAGGCATGCTGCGCTCTACAACAATAATTTTAAAATGTTGCAAATACTCTACATAACATCTCAAATCTGAAACACCAACAAAATCATTAACTCATTCATGCAACTATACCTTACTTGTTGATTCATGGATTACTCATACCATCAGCATATTTCCCATCAAACGTTTAATTACGACACACGAGTTGTTGTTTCATTCACGAATATTAGGACAAATAAATTTACTATCTCATTCTTAAGAAAAATAATTCTGACACAATACCCTTCAATAGTACTTTACCCTTCTATCTATATTTTTGTTTAACTATATGGTCTTCCGCATATTTATACCTGTGCTCTCTTACATCAAGTTCCACTCATCAGTTGTTCTTTCCTAATCTGTGCTTGCAATAACACCTGATTTTCTACATATTTGTGTGTACTGGTGGCCTGTATCTATGTACATCATAAGTGCAATTTACATTAAAAGTACAAATAAAGTTAATTTATCATTCATCATATTTATAGCAGCAATGAGGTTATGTTCACAAGTAAATCTATACGAACATACACTGACTTAACGTCCATGGATATGAAACACAGCCACAATAGATAGATAGATAAATAAATAAATAAATATAATCTAAGAAAATTAATTTTATCCTTTCAATGATAACTGCAAAAAAAGAAACTCATTTCTGTCACTGTTCTAAAGGGGAAACAAATTTGACTTGAAAGACTTTACATTATTTCACACTTCTTGGCTGTATTTCATTTCATTTACCATACATTACTGTGTTCGTGTACTGTCGTTCAGTGGTATATGTGTAAGTATTAATCTGCTTTTTACCTCTTAATGTATGGCCATCCATCTGGCACATATACAAGGTTAATATCAACAGGCACGTGACTGGGAAAAAGAAGGCAATTAAAATAACAACACTTGACAGTGACTCAAGAGTTGTTACTATATAGAATGAAGTCTTTTTCCCTAAAAATATTAATCAATACTGTTATCACTGATACCCCACCATGCAGGAAAATCAGCAACCTATCTTTAAAATCTGACAAATTCTTTCAATCACAAAAAGGACAATCTGCTAAATCTGAATATCTTATATCCTGACGGTAGCAATGCTAATGATAATAATACCACAAACAAAATGATAAATAAATATATATAAAAAAATCAATGTATTTCCTACTGCCTATAACCCAAAATAA